CTTTAGGTCCTACTACAAAATTATTCCTATCATCCATGTATTAAAAATATTCTCTCCGTCATGTAGTTTTCCTAATGGCATTGTCCATTTACCCTTGACTGTCAGATGACATTGTGTTCGAGGTGGCAGGGTGTGGTGACATGGACCTCTCCCACTCAGGGAGAAAGGTCGAACCCTCTGTTAATAAAGGACCGTTTTTAATACACCACGTCGGAAGAGAGTAGTAAAACAAATCCTTGGTGTCGTCAGATCAGGGACACAGAGATTAGCTGGCAGGAGTGGATTTGGGACAACTTTTGTTCAAGGCAATTTTACTAGAATCATAAAAAACATGTAACCCTTGGAGGCTCTAAGAACAGGTCCAGAATCCACCCAAAGACAGTCAAGTATCCGGGTCCAGATCTGTGTACAAGGTGCTCCCTGGGGATGCCCAGTGGTGTGGGAATCATCCCAGGAACCGCGAGGTGGCCCCGGGAGGGGACGCTGTGCAGCGGCGAGAACACCATGTTACAGAAGAACAGGAGAATTTAATTTCATGAAAACCAAGAGTGTTCCTAAGTGATAAAAGCAGAGCACAAAGTAGTCTTTGAATATGCATATAAACACACGCTCCTGCGTACAGGGAATATCTACAAGGGTCAGGTTTTAGTTATCTATTGCTGTAAAAACCACCATTTATGACTTCCCATGATACGAGGCGTGGCTGGAGGTGGGGTGGGGTTCCTCGTGGCTGTTTCTGGCTGATGGCTCCAGGTAGGCTTTGCTCCTAAGTCTGGCTTTGGTGGTCCTCATGCTGTGTCTCCGTGTGACTAGCTTGGGTCTGGGGATGGCTGCGGGTTTTATGTGGAAGCCAGATTCTCGCTGGAGAAAAGGAAGAAGCTGCCAGATCTCTTAAGGCCTCGGCCCAGAGCTATCAAGGTCTTACAGTAACTGGCACGATGCCCACCTGAAAAGTGCCCAACGATCCTGCTTGTTTTCTCTCTGACATCTTTTCTTAGAGTTTCCTATGTAGTTGCACTAGGTTCGTATTTTTCTGTTTTTCTTTTTGAGCTTTGCGATACTGCACATCATTTTATTTATATTATGTCAGCAATCCAAAGTCACATTTATTTGTTCAAACAGAAAAAATTTGGAGGTAATTTCGTATTTCTTGACTGGAGAGAAATTCTTCAGTCTCCACTATTAAGTGCTGTTTATTCGGGTCTATGCAGACCTGTCCAGAGAACCAAGGTGCTAATTGTCAAATGTCAGGCTGTTCAGGACTCTGTGTGAACCGGGGAGGTGGTCCTGGCGCAGAGGCCGGGTGCAGGACTCAGGAAGTCCAGGTTCTTATTTTGATTCCCTACCTAAACAGCTGTGTGGTTTTAAGAAATACATTCTCTCTGTTTTGTTTTTAAAATATTTGAGATGAGAGAGATTGGACTAGGGTGATGTTTACAGCTTCTTTCAGCTCTAAAATATTGATTCCATGAGTTCACGTCAAGAAGACTAGATAAGAGTGTAGCAGCTCTGTTCCTTTTGACTGGGAATTGAAGTCTAATGCTTACTAAGGCGCTGGCCTCACCCAATGGGTGTGGCAGCAATGGGTGTTGGGCCTTCCGTTTATATTTTAAATATTACCACTACTTGCAGGGTTGACTTCTAAGAGACTAAATCCTACTGCCTGCTTTATGCCCTTATGCATCTAAGGGCAATTTTTCTTCTTACTTCAAGAAGTGTGTATGAGATGGCTATATCCAAAGGATGACATTCTCCAAAAAAGATGAGATTTCTAATGGCATTTTATCATTAATGAGTACACTCTAGGAAAATAACCAAAAATTATAGCCATAAATGTGAATTGATTCTCACTATACTGACCTAAAAATACATCCTCAGAGTACAGCAGAATCTCCACTTCAGGTCTGCATCTTGTGACTGTTACTCTGAACTTACAGCTTTGCATGGAAACAAACATTCTGGGTGGTTGCTGGGTGGTTGCTGGGAGTGAGCAATGTTGGGAAGGCTGTCAACAAGTTCTCTAACGTGGAACTATGCTTGTCTTATGAACTGACAACTTTTGAGATATACAATATTAACATAAAATCATATTGCAGGATGTTTTACAAGTTGAAAATCAGTGAGTACAAGATATAAATAATGATGGTGGTTTTAGTAAATGGAGAGCAATCAACGAGTCTGTCTCTTTATCTGTCCACCCATCCATCCATGTAATGAGATAGACTTTCATACCCAGAAGATGGTAAAAATGCCTAATTCTGATAGCAAGTTTGAGGAGCAGAGGGGACCCTTTCCACACTACTGGTAGGTATGTAAATTCGCACGTCCACTTCCCAAACAATCTGATAGACGATCCATGTGTCTTGTTATCTGACAATTCCAGTTCTGGGTCTTCTGGAGAAACTCTTACAGGGACACATGGAGAAGCACGTGACACTCAACGGTGCGTAACTTTGGAAACACTCCACCAGCAACAAAGTGAATAAATACATCTTGGTAATTTCAGACAGCAGTGAAAATGAACTCTAGGTGCGTGTTTCAACATGAGGGAATTTTGTGGAATTACAGTATTAGTTTACTAAGCCTACTGTGATAAAGTACCATAGACTGGGCAGCTTAAACATCAGAAATTTATTGCCTCACAGCTCTGGAGGCCAGATGTCCAAAGTCAAGGTCCTGGCAAGGCTGGTTCCCTTTGAGGCTGAGCGAAGCATCTGTCCAGGTCTCACTGTGGCCTGTACATGGGTGTCTTCTCCCTATGTCTCTCCATATCATCTTTCCTTTATATGTGTCTCTGTGTCTAAATTTACCTTTCAATAAGGACACCAGTCGTATTGCATTAGGGCCTGCCCTAATACCCTCATTTTAACTTGATTACCTCTGTGAAGCCCCTCTGGCCACACGCTGGTCATGTGGTCAGGTATTGGGGCTTAGGACTTGGGCCTATGGTTTTTGAGAGGACACAATTCAACCCATAACAATTACTCCTTGTGTTTATAGTCAGGTTATGAATATTCATTTAAATTAATTAATCAAAATATGCATGTACATCAGTCCACTGCACTGAAGAGGTTGTCCATGACTTTCCAAAACGCAGCTAGATCTATGACTTTCAAGAAGGGTAAGAAACCCTTGCAGATTCCAAGGAGAACTTACGCTGCTCCCACCACGCCACTGCTGTTACTGTGGAAAGTAGACCCCTGGAGGTTAAATGTTGCAGAAGCTTATAAGAGCAGCATGTGGAGTCTCTCTTATAGAGCATTTAAGAAAGAGTGCTTTTGTTTGGCATGGCTTATATATATTACCTTGGGAAGTTATTTAATAAATCATCCAATCACCTTCCTGTCTTTCAGAAGGATTGCATTTAAGCCATTTCAGATGTATAGCTATCCAATGTTCCATGAGAAATCTCTTCTGGTATCTCATCATTTGTCATGTTGCATACTTTCCTTAGCTTTTGGATGTAGGGCATGTTCATGACAATTGAAGGAACTCACATGGCCCATATGCTTCCTACCAAGTCCTCCCGCCCAGGGGGCAGCTTTCAGGGCCATGCTTAGCAGCTATGATGAGCAGCGAACCCCAGGAGAGTAACCTTGCTCTGTACCTGATGCTCTTGCCAGGGGGCTGAGTGTCTCATGGGCAGGGAGGGACCCCCTTGGTCCAGGCACCTACCTGTTAGTGACACTGAGATGAACCTTCATTACAGTAGGATTTTGTGTAAAACAGGGTTGAAAGACTCAATGACTGAGCTCATATTCTAAAGTAAGAACGAGCTCATTTCACTATATATGAACTTAAATATACTAAAAATGGGATGGCATTGCTCTAATGGCCCTACATTAGGGCTGGACTGGATGGTGTGGAGTAGGGGTGGTCGCTGCACGTACAGCTTTGACAGGTGGGGTGAGGAGGGCCCTGGAAACAGAGGAAGGCAGTGGAGTGTCCAGGGCCCGTGTGTCTGAGCTGTGTGTTCCAAGCTCTGTACACATATGCATCGTATCTGAGCGCGGATGGATGGAGCCACAGGAATTGTGTTTAGCATTTGCAAGTTGTTTGAATTTACAGCATAAAGACCTTTGGAGAACTCTAGTCTCTTTATTTCATATTTATCAAGTGGAAATGAATTTGATTCCATTAACTCCGAGAACCTGCATGGGGCCTGTGCTGGGTATGAAAGGCTGCCCATGTCAGGAGCGCCACGGGGAGAGCTAAATCCCGTGGGATGGCTTGCGGGTGGCAGTGAGGCTTGGCGGGGCTGCAGAGGTGGTGCCAGCGCCGCCTACTTGTCACCCTGTCTCCCGGTCACAGGGCCCGTCCTAGTCCTGCTCCATCCGGGACTGGGCTGTCGGGACACCAGGCTCCTGCTCCCCTTTCCGCAGTCTCCTCTTATGCCTGTGCAGGCGGGGGGGTGGGGGTGTCAGCCCGTAGAAACCCTGGGGCCCGGGGAGAAACTGAGAAGGGGCAGAGGGGAGCCCCGCAGGCAAGGGTGTGTCCGGTCCTCGGGCTCGCTCTGTGTTCAGTGTTCATCTCTGAGCTTCATCTATGCAGATGACTCACTCTCTAAATTCTTGTTAAATTCATGGCGAGTTCCTAGTTTGAAAATCATGTACATTCTTATGCAGTATAGTTAAAGAATAAATTTACTTGCTTTATGGATACACAAATTGTATTTCAGGCATGAAGGCTCTCAGCCGTGGAGCAGAAGAAAAATCTAAGAACTGTTGTTGAAAAAAATGAAGGAAGTGTATTCTCTGCTTTAAGCTGAAGGAGAAAACTGTTTTAAGCATATGCAGTGCTGAAAGTCACTGTATTTTAAAATGCGTCCGTGTGATTTAATCACTGCTAATCTAGAATAGAATAAATTTTGAGCGGCTCCCTGCCGCTGACTCTGTTTAGTTTAGGATTTACTGCCTTTTATTGTCGTTAAAGAGCATGAAGTCTGAATAGACTCCTCTGGCCCTTAGCTCTCTGCCTTCTAACCTGTTTTTCTTCTGTAGAACTGCTGCTGGAAGAAAGACAGACAAGCCAGCCAGATGTTTTACACTGTGTGGAACACAGGTTGCAGTCACAGAGCCTGCATGCAGGGTGTGCCCTCCCTGCGTAATATCCACGAATATCCTGGGCAGGGGGCAGTCTTCTGGGGCAGAAGAGGAATGTCTTCATGGGCGTTGGAGGAGTGCCAGCAAGCTACAGGCCCACACCTGAAATCCTGATGCTACATTATTTGAGATCCTTTCTTACAATTAATACAAATGCACCTAAGTGGTAAATCACTTTGCCATTACCAGTACTAACTCCTGTATTGAATTAATTGTCCATTCCTTTCTTTCACTTAAAAAAATTATTTTGGTAAGACCCCAACATGTGATCTGCCCACTTAACAAATGTTTAACTATGTGTGCAATCCGTTATCATTAACTATAGGTGCAGCGATGTTTAGTGGGTCTCTGGAACTTATTCCTGTTGCTTAACCGAGACTTTACCTGTTGATGAGTAAATCTCAAGTTCCTCCCAGCCCCTGGCAACCATCGTTCTGCTCTTTGCTTGTATAAATTTGGCTATTTTAGATGCTTCGGGTAAGTGGGATCATGCTTCCTTAAAAAATCAAAACTAAAACTACCCTCCTGAATGTCACTGATGGATGAATGGATAAACAGAATATGGTATATAGACATGGCAGGATATGACCCAGCATTAACAAGAGGGAAATCCTGCGTTGGCGACAGCCTGTCTGTGATGGGCCCCTGAGCACCTAGCCTAGGAGTCCGTCTCCACTCCCTGTGACATGCTAAGGACCCCTTGCTGTGCCGAACGAGTTGCCAGCTGGCGTGATCCGTGTGTTCTTTACTAGCTTCCATCTCTTCCCCCCCGAATGCAGCAGGAACTGTGTGCCCAGTTTGTTTCTGGGTCTCCAGTGACTGGCACAGTGCCGACCCCATGGGCACTGCATCCACATTGCCCAAAGGATCTGTCACTCAGCTGCCGCATGGCCGCCCAGAACTGGGGGGGACCTGGTGAGGCTGGTGGGAGGGAGAAGGTGGTACTGCTTGGTTGGCACTGATGGGATGGGACTGGAGCACAGGGCCTTGGGCATCCCAGGCCAGCATGCCCTGTCTGTGGCCTTGAGTATGCCGACACTCCCCCTGGAAAGGCAGCCCTGAGAGGACGGATACCCGTCCGCCCACCCCACCGTGTCTGCCACACACGGTGGTCCCTCTTTCCATCCTAGCAGCAAGATGCCTGCCTTGGTCTATTTCTTTTAATAGAAACCCCTTAACTGCCCGGAAACGAAGGACTGTTTCATGCGCCCAGCCAGGCGGGGCCTCTCCGGGAGATACACCTGAGTGACTGGAAGAGAGGGGGTGCTTTGGAAGCCTCTTAGCACAACATGCCCCCCAGTAAAGAAGAAAAACCTGACATGACGAAATGTTTAAGGAATCTTTTTTTACAGTTAGTTCAGTGATTTTAGCTTTTTGTTTTCCTCAAATGTGTCTATAAGAAAAGGTTCTGAGAAAGTATATTTGTGCTGCTGTGTATGAACCGCTCGGCTGCGTACAATCATCAGTGCAGACTTTCCTGTAGGTAAAGAAATCTCCACGACTTTAGTCTCCGTGCAGAGTAACTTTGGGGACATCCTTCCCTTGGGGCAAGGAGACATCGGACACCTCTAAGTTAATACTGGTGACTTCCGCGTAGAGTTGTCGAGCCACCACTCACCGTGCATTTTGGGTTTCATCTTAAACGAAATCTCTAAGGCAAGTTGATCCTTCCAGGCTGGGCTTTGCTGCTGAACTTGCTGACACCGCTCAGGGCAGAGCAGAGCAAGGTGGCTGTGCGGCCATGTCCCCACCGGACAGGCGGCCGCCGCGCTCGCAGTCCGGGCACTCCGCCGAGCTCCACGGAGGTGGCGGGGCAGGAGCTGGGAATGCTTAACGAAGCTTCTTGACGGATTCTTTAACACTTATTTTCAAGTGACAATTCCAGCTACCTAGTGACATAGGCAGAGATCTATGTAAGGGAACACTTTAGTTGGAAATGTTATTTTTTTTCCCAAAAGGGTAAGAGAATTTAGCAACTTTTTTTTTTGTTCCTGGAGAGCTTTGTCAGCTTGACAGGGACTTGGCAGAGGGAGGGAGTTTCAGCGCGCACTGTGCAGTGCTGCTGTGGGGGCTGGAAGGGATCTTGGAATCATTCATTCCGACCGCCATTACTTCACAGATGAAAAACAGGGAAGTCCCTCCAGGCTCCCATCATGTGTATTGTGCAGGTGGAAGGGCGGAGACGATGCGTCCCACACCTGGGCCACTCTGATTCCCATACCTTCATTTCCCAAACCCTGGGCTGAGCCTTGCCTACCACCTGCCGCCTTCTCTCTCCTGCAGATGCTTTTAATGTTGGTCAAATCTGGATGGTGGGTTCTGATACTAGGTCTGTGGACTCCAGGGACCCCAGCTATTTGCTTGAAGAGTACCATGGAGGCACTGGTGTTGTGTGAAGGCATCACGAAGGTTGTCAGGTGAGCACTTGTCAGGAGTAAGGGTCTAGAGCATTCACAATGTTCCCTCAAAGGAATCTGCGTTCCCCGAACCTGAAGGTGCCCCAACCAGGGAGCGATGGGTCAGCTCTGGCCTTTTCATTCATTTCCTCATATAGCTTTTCAGTAACGCTGACTGTGTGTCTGGCTTCGTACTGGCTAGTGGGTCTCTTCAGTTATGAGAAGAGAGTTGAGTGTTGTCCCCAGTTGAGTTCAGTTTATCTCTACTGTTCTCATGTCCAGTTAGTCACTGGAGTCAATGTGCTTTACTTCATCTGGTGGACACATCCCCGGGAAAGGGTGTGGCTCTGACGCTGTTGATCTGTGGGGTAAACACCAAGGTGGGAAGTGCTGAGGAACCAAGAGGGAGGGGCTCCCGGGGCCCAGGACTGTGGGTCAGATGCGCAGGCATCCACCGTCTGCCATGGTCCCCATCTTCCCCAGAGGCCTCCCAGGGACGGTGACTGGGAACAGGAGCTCCGGGAGCCTTTCTGACGGAGCGTGGCCTTTGCCCTGAGAAAGGACCCTTGAGCTGAGCCCCGTCCCGGAGGCCTCGCTGTGCATACTGCATGGGGACAGGACGCTGAGGGGCTTGCACTGGTATGATGCCAGATGACTTCCCAGCTACCACAGATGCTTCTGGCCTGAATTCAAATGAATATGCATCAGAGATCGTAGTGTTTGGTCTTGGCATCAATTTCTTTTCCATCTTAAAATTGTTTCAAAACTTTTTTGAAAAATCTTTCTCCAGAATTTAAATATAAATTGGTGTCTTTCTTTTTTAAATCTACAGGAGATCTAGGTGGCTAAAAGGGAGCATATAAAATACAAATCAGTTTTGTTTACAAGAGCCTTAGACACATTCCCACCAGTCAATTGACAAATGTTTACTGAGACCCTACTATGTCCTGGGGTCACACTAGTGAAGAATACACATTTTCTGTCCCAAGGTGTATCTTTCAGAGGGGAAGATGGACAGTAAAGATGTCAAAATATTCATAACTAAGATAATTGAAATAATGATAAGCATGAACCAATCGGAGTTCTTAGTGACAGACAAACACAAAATCGGTCAACTCAGACAAAAGGGACATTGGAAGTGTGCCAGGCTGCTTACAGAATCCACTGGAAGACTTGCTCAGGATGAGGAGACACAGGCTCAGCCAGGAGCGTGTCACGGAAACAAGTTTCCTGGCCTCGCTGCGCTGCAGGCTGGGACCAGGAACTCTGGACTCTACCCCACAACTCCCCTGCCCTGGGGCCCTCCTGCGGAGGGCAGTGTGTCCTTGGGGAGAGGTGGGGGTGGGAGCGAGCATCAGGTGAATGTTCCAGCTCCTGGGGGAGGTGCTGGCAGGTTGGGGGCTTACAGGAGAGGGCGGTGTCGGGCAAGCCAGGAGAAGTGCGTTTGTACTGAGTAACTAGAGCACCACTTTTAAAATAAGAATGTGGTTTGATTTGCATTATTTCAAATAGGCATTGCAGAAACATTTTGTGTTTTTGTCCTACCACAAAATTATTTTCCTTCAGTGAATTGTATTTGTATTTATAATACATTTGCTTTCAAAAAGGATTTGAAGCAATTTGTTATAAAGTGATATTTGCAGAAAACCATTAAAACAGAAAATCAAAATGCTATGAAAAGCAGAGGAAGCTAAAAGCTGTGTGTGGTAATGTGCTGTGCTGGTCACCGTGGCTGAGTGTTGCCTTCAACTCGGTCTCCCAGCAGCCAACATCAAAAGGAGCAGGTCAGGTGATGTGACTATTTCAGCTGATGTGAAGTGTGCCCATATTTAAGGCGGACAGGTTATTTCTTCTTACTAAAGGCTAAGAAATAAGTTTATGTTGAGTTATCCCATACCTAATGATAAACAACATACCCTCAAAATAATAGTGCTGTTCGTTAGTTTATTCTCATGGCAGCTTTTTGAGGTAGATTTTATGGTGGTCCCCATTTGATAGGTGAGGAAACTAAGGCTTTGAGAGGAAAAGTATATTGTCCGAGATCACTTAGCTGTGAGGTGGTGAAGCTTGGATTTGCACTCAGTTCAACCTGATGCCACTATGTGGGTGCTAAGCCAGTGTGGCATCCTGCCACCCTGCTGTCCAGCCAGCCTGCTGTACTGCCATCTTCAGGCTAGGTTGCTTTTTTGAACCCCTGCTTTGAATTGTCAGTTAGACGTCTTCATTCAAATGATCTGAAGGTATCTGAAATTCAGCTTCTCCCAAACTTGCGCTCCTTATCTTCTCGAATCTGCTCTTCCTGTATTCTTGGGTGTGGTCCCACATACCAGACAGTACTCTGCATCTTTCCCTCAATCAGCGTTCACTTCAGATGAAATGAAAATGACCTATTGGGTGAAATAATTTCGCTCCCTCACTGGAGAATGACCTCGCAAACCACTTCCGTCAGTGTCATCTTGACCCTTAGACTGTCACTGTTTGCTTTTTGAACAAATACTGTGATCACACACCCAGTTGTGTGTAACTGTAGCTTGGCTCAAGGCATGGAAAGAAGGTGATGCTGGGAAGAATGGGTGAGTCCCTTGTGAAGGGGCTCCCACCCTCTTCCTGCCCCCCCTTTGCCTGCCCACTCCTCCTGCCCACTCAGGTCTGCTTACCTCTGCTCTTTCTCTGCAGCAAGACCATTTTCACTGGGAAACTTCTTGGAAACGCCCTGGGGAGCTTCCTGCATGCCCCCTCCCCACCCACGTGGGCCTGGGAGCCTCTCCTGTGTGCCCCTTAGCGCTTTGCCTCCCCTGCCCCTCCCCCGGGTGTTCACCCCCCAGTCTTATCTTCACATTTCTTTTCCTTGTCTTTCCACATGAGAGTGAACCCTCCCTAAGGAATAGTGTCTGGTGGTGAATGCTGACTGTCAAGTGGGATACTAGCCGGGGCTGCCCGTCAGGCCCCCTGGTGTGGCCTGGACTTTCTCACAGCGCTGCGGCTTCTGAGAGCAAGCGTCCTGGAGGAGGGAGAGAGAGAGAACCTGCTTGTGTTGCCTTTTGTGGCCTTACCTTGGGAGTCACGTAGTGCCACTTTGCTGTACTCTGTTAGTCCAAATGGTGACAGAAGTGTTCCCTGATCAAGGGGAGGGAGCATGGACTCCCCCTCTCGGTGTGGGTGAGACACAGTCATAGGTCAGAAGTGAAATGCGAACATGGAATGGGAGATGTTTTTGTGGCTCTCTTGAAGAAACGAGCAGCCACTCTAGCAGAGAGGTCATACTTGATGGGAACCCGGGGGAGTTAACGGGGGACCTTGGAGCGGTGTCGGCATTGGGTGCAGAGGCGGACTTGAGCACCGATGGGGGAGGCAGGCAGGGAGCTCGGGCCACACACGGGGATTCTCTTTGCAGGACTTAAGCAGAAAAGAAGGAAGAGATGGGGCCTCTGCCAATCCCCAGATGTCCGATGTGGGCGCACTGCACCAGTTCTCAGCATCTGCTGTTTCGCCCTTTGCAAGTTGGGTTTCAGTTGATTTATGTATCTGAGACCATTAAAATATAAAAATTCTGGTCTTTTAATAATTCATGTTATTAAACGTTTCCCCCAAACTCACTAAATCGGTGAAATTTTGTGATGATAGCTTTCTTTTTAGGTTTTCTGCTGGCCGTCTTTGACTGCAAGGAACTAGAAAGAACCAAATCTTCAAAAGTTGACAGCATTCATTCAAGTCCTTAATATGCAGAAGGACACGATTTTCTTTTTGGTTTGATTTTTTTGTGTGTTCAATACTGAGAAAATTTTAATTCCTCATCTCACAAATATATATCTTGGACCTGTGCTGGGAACACTGTTGCCTTTGGTGGCCATAAAGAAGGCTGGCTCTGACGCTGTCCGGGGTCGGGTACCAAGGAGAGTTGAATGGCTCCATACCTGAGGGGAACGTTTACCAGCCATGAACTCATCAGCCTGAATCTTGCTATGAGTGATGTGCTAGTTAAGAATGTCTTTCTGATAATCTCATTTCTTATATGGAAGTGAACTGTGAATATGTAACATACATGGTGGAGCACTGGAAGCATGGCATGTGTGTTGTGTACATCCCTCCGAGGGTCAGCTCAGTGAGGCAGCCATGGTGCATGTTGAATGGAGCAACAGGACCTCCCCGTGAAGTGAGAAGCTACGGTCCACTGGTCATTCCTGCTTCATTTTTATTATTTTAGGTTATTGATGCTGCTCAAGTAAATAGAACTTTATTGCAGAGAATTTTTAGATGCCTGGAAATAAGACAAATTCATTTACTTTAGAATTCATGGAATAAAACTTG